ATGTTTAAGAGTAATCATGTTTAGCTTAGTATCAAACATGCTTAGCATACCCTAGGCATGCCTTAGTACGCCTAAACAAGGCTTAGTATATCAAATTGCCGTGAGAATTATGGATCACCAATCTTCGCGTGCATCATCATCCGTTCCTGGACACATGGAGAGCTGGTAGTTACTTGGGCTATGACTAAGCTTGTAGGGTGGTGAGTAAGCACAAAATGCCACCCTTGAGCATTAAGCACACGGCAAATGGCGCATGGCCATTGGCCGAGCTTTTATCCCAATTTTCCCTTAATTTTCCACCGTACTATAAGTCAGCATTTTGGGATGAATAAATAGCTGATCATTTAAGCTATAAGTTCAGCATATATTAAGCTATTTCATGTTTAACACGCACACGGCAACATGAACTTCCGCATGCACTCGGAGTTGACAAAATGTGAAATTCTCCGAGCACTTGAGGAGGTAACCTCATCCTTAACCAATTTCATGTTAGTAATATTATGTAAAGTTCAGATTATTCAACTCATGTCAAGAAATTAATAAGAAAATGCAAAGAGTACTCGGTTTGTGTTATTTTAACTCACACCAAGTGATGTTTAGTTCTATTCGAATAACACCGAGTAATTCATGCTTATTTGATCATTTTAGGTCATTATATGATCAGTTTTAAAAGATAGGTCGAGACAAGTTGATGTTAAGATCAAGTTTTGGCCTATGGATGTGGACTGCACGCGTAGTGCACGCCCACAGGCCGTAGTAATTGCTCCCTCGTGTTATCCTTTAATATGATCAGAATTGTTCGAGTAATCCCTGTCTCAATAGCCTTTAAATAGTATTATATGATCAGTTTCTTGGGGTTATTCGATAAAAGTTCAAGTTTATTTGAGGAAGTTGGCTTGACGCCAAACATGTGCGTATGGTACGCACGCCTCGACACTATGCGAGTCTATCTAGTGAAGTTCATGAATTTTGGGTTAAAATCAATATGTATAGTCATGTTATGTTTAAACATGTGGAATCATGTTAATGTTGCTGGAGAAAGTTACCGGACGGTCGGCGAAATGCCGACCATGATGCCTACCGTGCACAGCGTGCGCGCAAGCGAGTACGCAGGCAGCGTCCGCGAGCCCAGTAACGCGCACGCATGCCCAGTACTCCAAAGTTACGTCCCAGCCATACATGAACGCGTACGCAGTGTACGCCAACACGCACGCTGGCCATCAGTCATGCGTGCCAGCACGCCCAGTAGCGTGCCAGCGATGCCCAGCGGGCCTCGGCGATGCCAGCAGCACGCCCGAGTGCCCAGTCAGCCCAGCACGCGCAGCCCGCGTGCCAGTCGCCTACCTACGGTGCACAGCAGCGCCTGGTAGTGCTCATACGTGCCAGTGCCATTGCCAATGTCCGTGGCAGTGGCCAGTTATGCCCAGCAAGTGTCCAGCAGCCGCTGGTCGTGCACAGCAGCACGCTAGTGATCGTTGATGAAGATCGTGTGTTCGGACTTTCGACAAGCAACGCGAGTGCCTTAAATCGAGATAGGGTCCCGAAGATCCGTGTCCACAGTCCTTCGAAACAAGTAAAATTGCAATAGAACTCAAAGAAATCTATGCAAAGTGTTTGAACAAAAGTTCGGATTTTGTATTAAGAAGAATCAATTATTAATTTAACAAGAGAGAGGGCCTTTATATAGACATCAACTAGATCTAGTCCTATTATAACTATAACTCTAATAAAGCAATAAAATATTAGGTGTCCTAAACAAACTAGGAAAAAAATCTCTAGAATATCTCTTGCTTGGGCTTCAAGCCGCCTTTGCGCGCGTGCTGGACTCCCGCGCCTGCCTCGCCTATTCCTTGCGCGGTTAGGTCTGCTCGCGCGTGAACCTCCTCAGTTGTATTCGGGCTATCGCGTCCTGGGTCGAAATTCTCGCGCGCGTCATCGTCCGCGCGTGCATGTCCGCTAACGAGCTGGGCCTCAGCAGCCCGTCGGCTTAACCTTCGTCGTGCATGATAAGCGCGGCTCGCAGCATTCTTTAGTCTTCTAGCCGTGTCTGCATCATTCCCGTCCCCTTCAAGTACTTCCTTGTCCTCAAGGAAGAAATCAGGGAACATCTCACGCATCTCGTCCCAACTTTGCCACGTCGCTTCCTCACTCGACAAGTCCTCCCATTCGACGAACACCTCCAAAAAATATTTCCCAGCCTTTTTGATTTGCCGATACTCCATCGCGTGGCTTGGCCGCACCATAACCTGCCCGTCCGGCGTGACCGAGGGTAGTCGATCCTTTGCCGCATGCGTTTCACCGAGTCATTGCTTGAGTTGTGAGATGTGTATCACCGGATGAATATGGGAATCGTCCGGCAATTCAAGTCGATAAGCAACCTTCCCAACTTTGGCCATAATTTTATAAGGCCCGTAATATCGAACTCCGAGTTTGGTCGTGGCCCTTTGCGCGGCCGTCCTTTGCCGAAATGGCCTCAACTTCAAGTATACCCAGTCCCCGGGCTCGAACTCCACGTCACGTCGCTTGCCATCATGGTACGCCTTCATCCTATTGATCGAGCCCTCCAACGTTCGCTTCAACTCGCGCAACATCAAGTCGCGCTCGACCAACTCTCGATCGACCTCATCATTCACAGCGCTCCCCATCGAGTAACTTACGATCGTCGGCGGTTTGCACCCGTACACCAATTCGAACGGCGTTGCCTTAGTCGAGCTATGGTAAGTGGTGTTATACCAATACTCGGCCCAAGGTAAATAATTCTCCCATCGCTTTGGAAATTGATGCACATAGCACCAAAGGTACTGCTCGAGCGTGCAATTGGTCACCTCTGTCTGTCCGTCGGTTTGTGGATGATAAGCTGAGCTCATGCTTAGCTCCGTTCCCTGCAATCTAAAGAACTCCGACCAAAAGCTACTCATAAATATCCGATCTCGGTCGGACACAATTGATCGCAGTACCCCATGCAATTTCATCACATATTCGACAAATAATTTTGCTATAGACTTAGCCGTGTATGGATGAGTAAAGGGAATAAAATGCGCATACTTGGTAAGACGGTCGACCACCACCATGAATCCATTGAACCCATTCGAGAGTGGCAACCCCTCGATAAAATCCATGGTGATGTCCTCCCAAATACGTGCGGGGACCGGCAAAGGTTGGAGCAGCCCGCCTGGTCGACGCGCGTCCGCCTTAGTGCGTTGGCACTCATCACATCGCCCAACATAGTCGCGCACATCGCCCCTCAGCTCTGGCCAATAAAAAGTGCTCGCAATCCTCATCCATGTCCGGAACACCCCGGAGTGTCCTCCAAACTTCGAGTCGTGGAAGTGCCGGATGATTTCCTCGCGCAACGATCCCGCCTTGGGCACGACGACTCGTCCATGATAAAAGAGCAAGCCATCGTGCATGTCATGGTCCTCGACCTCGTCATGTCCTATATTCAGCTTCTCGATCATGTCCCGACAATGTGCATCCTCGTCTTGTGCCTTCCGAAGCTCGGCCCAAACGACCCACGTCGGTCCCGTTACTGCGTCGAGCTCGGCTACGTCTTCCCGGCGAGACAATGCGTCGGCCACGGTGTTTTGGCGACCGGGTCGATACACTATCTCGAAGTCGAACCCCATCAATTTGAACACGAACTTCTGCTGCTCAGGCGTCACGATCCTTTGCTCGAGCAAGTGCTTGAGTGGCTGCTAGTCTGTAACAATTCGAAAGTGTCGCCCAAGAAAGTATGGTCTCCACACGCGTACGACCTCGACCACGGCCAGCATCTCCTTCACATATGCGGACAGCCCTAAGCGCGCCGGCCCAAGCGCCTTGCTAAGATAGGCCAATGGCCGCCCTTCTTGCACTAGGACCGCTCCGATTCCAATGTCGCTCGCGTCCGAGTGAATCTCGAACATTACGTCAAACCTCGGCATCGCGAGCACGAGCGTGGTCGTCATGGCTTTCTTCAATTCCTCGAATGCCATCTCGCTCGCTTTGGTCCACTTGAAGGCTCCTTTCTTCGTCATTTCCGTAAGTGGCTTAGCTATGGTCCCATAGTCCTTCACGAATTTTCGATAGTAGCCCGTGAGACCAAGGAACCCTCGCAACTGCGTCAAGCTCATGGGTTTCGGCCACCCCACCATCGCCTCGATCTTCCTCGGGTCTACCTTAACACCTTCATGAGAAATAAAGTGCCCAAGGTATTCGACCACCTCTTGAGCAAACGAGCACTTGGACGGCTTGATAAAAAATGAGATAGCCGCCAAAATCTTCAAAACAACTCGCAAGTGCTCGAGATGATCTGTCCATGTTTTTCAGTACACCAAAATGTAATCAAAGAATACTAACACAAACTTACGAAGATACTCCTTGAAGATTGAATTCATCGCAAACTGAAATGTCGACGGCGCATTGCACAAACCAAAAAGCATCACGAGATATTCGTAGTGCCCTTGGTGCGTGCGAAAAGCCGTCTTGGGCACGTCCTTTTTGGCCAACCTTATCTGATGGTAGCCTGCGCGTAGGTCGAGCTTAGAGAAGTAACGCGCACCACCCAACTCGTCAAGCATGTCGTCGACGCTTGAAATGGGAAAGCGGTCCTTCATAGTGGCCGCATTGAGAGCGCTGTAGTCCGTGCAGAACCGCCAAGTTCCGTCCTTCTTCTTTGCGAGCATCACCAGTGACGAGAACGGGCTCGAGCTATGCTGGATGAGCCCGGACTCGAGCATCTCGCCCACCTGTCGTTCGATCTCCGTCTTTTGGAAGTGTGCGTATCGATACGGATGCACGTGCACTGCTCGACCTTCCTCGATCAAAGGTATGTGATGGTCGAACTCTCGATGTGGTGGCAGCCCCTTAGGCTCGTCGAGGACCTGGTCGAACTCCTCGAGCAAGTCACGCACCTCGCGCTGCCTCTCCTCGACCACTTGGTCGAACTCCTCGACCACCTTCGCGTCCTTGCCTGTCTTCTCGACCACGACAGCGTACAACTGTCCGCCACCTCGCCATACCTTCTCGATGCTTTTTAGACCAACCTCCTTGGTCGATCCTTCGTTTGCTTTCAAGGTGACCAGCCCATCATCGGTCTCGAACTTCATCACGCCCTTCCGATAGTTGATCGTCACATCTCCGAGTCCCTCGAGCCACTGAACCCCAAGCACCATGTCCGGCCCTACCAGTGGCAAGGCAAACAGGTCCGCCTTCACCGTCACTCCTTGGAATTTGATTGGCACTCCTCGGTACACCTTCGAGCACCGCAGTCGCTCACCATTAGCCACCCGAACCTCGAATGGCTCGACCATGGACGTGGGTAGTTTAAGTTTGTGAGATAGCGTCGTATTAATAAAGTTGTGCGACGACCCATTGTCCACGAGCACAGTCACTCGCCGGTCCTTCACCCATGCCGGCAATCGCATTGTCCTCGAGCCCTTGGTGCCTGCCATGGCGTGCACAGAGATCTCGGCCTCATCATCGAGCACCTCGACCTCCTCCGTTTCCCTTTCTTCCACAAATTCTGGCTCCTCATCACCTGCGTCAACAAACTCGATCAAAAAATTTTGCTTACATTTATGACCTGGGGTGAACCTCTCCTCGCACTTAAAGCACAATCCCTTCTCACGCCTCCGAGCCATCTCTTCGACCGTCAATCGCTTGATCTCTGGAATAGGGGGTCGAATGTTGCTCGTTGGTTTGACCCCTGTATTGAACGTGTTCGTGTTAGTCGGCACCCGGCGCGATTCTGGGGCGCGGAGATCCGCCCGTCCCCTTCGTGTTGCGGCCAGGTGCTCATCGCGCCGTCGAGCAACCTCCATCGCCTTTTGCATGGTGTCTGGTTGCTCTAATCGTACCTCCGCAGCCAAATCGTACCTAAGTCCTCCAATGAATGCACCGACCAAGGCACTCTCGGGCCACCCTCGTACGCGACACGCCAAACGCTCGAACTCCTTTTGGTAATCGCGTAGAGTTCCTGTTTGCCTAATACGCGAGAGCGCCTCGTCATAGTTGAGGTAACTCGACGCTCCAAACCGCGTGAGTAGTTCTCTCTCAAAATCGTTCCACATGATCGGTTGATTGCGGGTCCCGTATACGCTTGTGAGCCATTGCCACCACACGTTGGCCTCCCCATCTAGGTAATAGGCCGCATACCTGATCCAGTGCCTCGCCGGTGTCTCGTTCAATTCAAAGTATTGCATCGCCCGATTGAGCCACGCCTCGGGGTCGTTCCCTGTGAAGGTCAAGAGCATTATTTTTGGTTTGTCAACCCTCGGCCTCTCGTGCATGTTGGACGCTTGCGAGTTCCGTTCAAATTCCTCCTCCTCGTGCTCCCACTGTTGTTCCTGTTGCCGTAGACGCTCGCGTGCGTCTGTGCGAATTCGCTCGTGAGTGTGCGGCTGCTGCTGGAGTTCTTGAAAGTTTCGCCCCATCTCCTCGAATTTTTTGGTCATGAATTGCATCATCTCCTTAAGAGCCACCTTGTGAGACCCGAGTTCTTCCCCCATGGTGGACATGGTCTGGGTCATGCCCGAAACCCGTGCATCAAGGCCATCGATTTTGTCCTTCATCTCTTTGTTGGCCATCTCCTTCTTCTCTTTTTTTCTTTCTTTGCTACGAGGACTCGTTTTGATTTTTTTTTTTTGGAACGAAGAAAGATCAAACAAGAAAATTAAAATTAGAATCAGGAGGAAGAAGAACACACGATCAAACACCTCTCAATGAAAGAACCAATGATGAAGATCGTGTGTTCCGACTTTCGACAAGCCACGCGAGTGCCTTAAATCAAGATAGGGTCCCGAAGATCCGTGTCCACAGTCCTTTGAAACAAGTAAAATTGCAATAGATATCAAAGAAATCTATGCAAAGTGTTTGAACAAAAGTTCGGATTTTGTATTAAGAAGAATCAATTATTAATTTAACAAGAGAGAGGGCCTTTATATAGGCATCAACTAGATCTAGTCCTATTATAACTATAACTCTAATAAAGCAATAAAATATTAAGTGTCCTAAACAAAATAGAAAACAAGGAAATAAATCTCTAGAATATCTCTTGCTTGGGCTTCAAGCCGCCTTTGCGCGCGTGCTGGACTCCCGCTCCTGCCTCGCCTATTCCTTGCGCGGTTAGGTCTGCTCACGCGTGAACCTCCTCGGTTGTATTTGGGCTATCGCGTCCTGGGTCGAAATTCTCGCGCGCGTCATCGTCCGCGCGCGCATGTCCGCTAACGAGCTGGGCCTCAGTAGCCCGTCGGCTAAACCTTCGTCGTGCATGATAAGCGCGGCTCGCAGCATTCTTTAGTCTTCTCGACGTGTCCGCATCAATCGTCCCCAGCGCACGCACGGTGTCAGCAGCACCTGCCAGCGCACGGGACCAAGCCAGCCAGCGTCCGCCAGCGCCAGCAGCGCCAAGGCCGCGCCTAGTGCGCGAGTGACCGAGCCGGTGGTTAGCCAGCGGCCGACCGTCCGTCCAAAGCGAGCCGACGGTCCGGCCAGTCAGTGAACCGGCCGGTCCAGACCGGTTACTTGAGTAGTTCAGTATTTAGGGACCTGGTCCGAGTTCAGTACAGTATTTCAGTTAATTTTTCAGTCCAGTCAGTTCAGTCCGGTTTTCTTGTCAGTCAAGTTAAATCCCGAGATTAATCCAGTTAAATGTTTAGATCGAGTCGAGTATCTTAACAGCTATTTTCAGTCAGTCTGAGCATAGTACTTAGTATTTGTTTATATATGTCTGTTTTGCAGGCAATCACACTTACATTTTCAGATCAGCAGTTCAGGTGGGAACTCAGAATAAGTATTACATTGATATTAATTACTCAGCCACGTTTAAAGGTATGTATATGAGATTATCCACTTTGGGTGGGGGCGCGAGGCCCTAAGTAACCATCCAAAGTTCTGGTGGAGGCGCAAGGCCTTATGTAACGCCCCACTTTTATTTGCCGAAAATAAGAATAAATTTTTCAAATTTATTTCAAAACACTTGAGGCGCTACTCATTTTCAAAACAAGTTTTAATAATATCATAAATACAACACCCAAACGGGTTCACTAATCATGTCAACACCCAAACCGGGTTCTTTAATAACATCAATTCCCAAGCTGGGTTTCTCAATTTCATAAATACTAGGGAGCACACTCCCTATCAATAATCCGATACTCAACGTAAATCAGAAATGCATAAACGATAATAAGCAGTTCATATAGCGGAAGCAAAATCATCAATATGACCACCACTCGCATCCCTCTGTCGTACCCGCGCAAACTAACCTGCATCAATGAAGAGCAGGTGGGGATGAGCACAAGAGGAACAGTAGTGCTCACCACTATGCAGTAAATAACAACAAAATATAACAAGAGTATGGTCACAGCATGAGTATAAATCCATTCATCATGTCACATCTCCAATCAATACACCAATAATCTCACTCATGTGCACATCTATCATTAGCCATTGAAGGACATACAGCTCTCAACAATGGGAGTGCATACCGAAGGACATACAGCTCTCAACGGTATGGCCTTTCATTAGGACTTAGGGAGATTGCCTCACAAGGCACCGTCGAAGGACATACAGCTCACATCGACGGGGACAACCGATCGAAGGACATACAACTCACATCGATGGTTAAACCAATTCACAAGCATGCATTGATCATACCAATCCAACAACAAATAAGTTATTTACGGCATAGCAAATTTTACAATTACAACCCACCTGGTGACGGCTGATAAATCGAAAT